GCGACAATATGAAGAACACAGTTTCACGAACTAAACACAGTATCAGACTTCAAAGTCGCTTTCAGTGTTGACACTGTGCAATTGCCATTCCTAAATGTTTGACTAACTCGGAATTCATGAAGGGTTTGGCATAAATACCGAATAAGGATAATTCCTCGTGATGAGTGAGTGAGTAAGTTGGGTTTAAGTATTTCAGTTATATCACGGCGTGTCAGCTTAAAGCGGGTGGAAAGCCCGAAGTGATGCAGGTCTTTGACGTTTAACACTTCGGTGAACCCCACGAGCACGGGTCCGGTGCTGACAAATCTAGAAACATAATCAGGGCGAACCGGGATTCGAACCCACAATCATAGGTTTCTGGCATGCCCAAGCGACTCTGCCAAGCGTATCGCGGCGCCTTAGACGTCTGGGCCACCCCTCCCCCCTCCTCGTTATGAAAGGAGACAGGTTTTTCTGTACGTGCGGGTTATTTTTATTGGAGGATCCTTGCCTTTTAAAAAAGCGCGATGATAATAAAATAGGCAATCTGACAACTAGTCCAGCAAGACACTAACCAGGATCAAGGACAAAAGAAACGCACGTGACCATCATCCGATTTTATGTCAGACAAACATGATAAGAAAATATGATGAAAAATTATAATATTGGCCAACGCATGATCAGTTTGTGGGGCAAGCCTGATAAGAAACAGGTGTATTGAAGACACAGGTGATCTTGTGTAATACTCTATGGGAGTATTGGCACGTTTATTTGATTGATTCAACAGGTTATCGATATTCCTAGGACATAGTAACCTAAGCTTGTCATAAGAAGCATCATTAGTTAACAACACAATATAAAAATGGGCTAGAGATCGTCAGTAATTAAAGGGAGATCACCATACTAGGGTTGGTTGGTTGGTTGGTTTGTTTGTTGTTTAACGCCGCACTCAGCAATATTCCAGCTATATGACGGCTGTCTGTAAATTAACAAATCTGGACCAGACAATCCAGTGATTAATATTATGAGCATCGATCCGCGCAATTGGGTGGATGACATGCACCAACCAAGTCAGCGAGCCTTACCACCCGATCGCGTTGGTTGCCTCTTACGACAAGCATAGTCGCCAATATGGCAAGCATGGGTTGCTGAAGACCTATTCTAACCTTGATTTTCACGGGTCCACCATATTAGGGACCATGGAGACTTACAGTACCTTTGCTTCCTGCATGAACCCCGGCAGGATTTACATCAACCTTCAGTCACTGGCGATAGTGTACCAGTTAAGCCAAAGATTAAAATGACGAAAATACTACATTTAAAAGTCTGGCATGCATAAAAAATCTTCGAATGAATGTTGAACATACATGCCCTCTTAGGGGGACAATACTTTATTGTTACTTCAACTCCGCCCGAGGTTACAGCCACCAGCAATCTGAGTTATTAATTAGCACTGCCAATATAGAAATAAAACACTTTGTACATACAAAGTTATGAATTAATTCTATTTCGTTTAAAAAGCACAATATTAAATGATAATGTACATGACTGAAAAGGTCTTTGACTGTTTTTACACTGCAATATAGTTGTGATGGAAAAATCAATACAGTCAAGCAGGACATGCTCGCCTGCGATTCATTCACCACAAGGGATACAAAACGGAGGATCCTCACCTTTCAAAATATTTTCATGGGTATATGTGTTGTGGCTAATACGAAATCGTCGCATAATGACCTCTTCAAATATGGACTGACAGCCCAAGTAGGTGTAACTGATATTTGGTTTAATTTCATGTAATTTAAAGATACCTACTTGGGTGTCCCACTTCTTTTGCGTCCGATCTCGAATGTAACATCCAATTAATGTTTCGAATCACTCTATGAAAAAAATGTGGTATCACAGATTTGTTGAGAGCTGTTTTTGCACTAGCAACGGCCATTGTGTTCTTCGTGATTAAACAACTGTTCATCATGAAAGTCTGGGGCTCTGCCTTGGAGCCTCTTGAACATCGTCTATTTACAGTCTGTATGTGGAGGCTGACATTGAACAACGTCACATTAAATTTTCAGTATATCTCTAAATTACGTTCTAGTAAATCCAATCCCGCAAATAAAGAGGTGGACCTAACATTAGCTGTACTGAAGAAATCTGACACAAATACAATAGTTTATCAACAAGAATATAATGAATTACGAAGGACATATTATACTTACAAATCTATATTTAAATATGATCCATGGATGGTGACGTTGTTGCCAGCGCCACTGTCATTGGATCCAGGACTATCTCATCCACATTACCTGATAACTGTTCTATTTGCACAGCAGAAGCAAATGCTATTTTAACAGCACTAACATATATCAACAGCCAAACTAAACATAAACAATTCATAGTTTTTTTCAGATTCTCTTTCTTGCCTTCAGGCTTAATAAAACATGTCTTCCTCTGCACTTTAAATCGAGATAAATATTGTTTAAACAGCTGTTCAAAAACACACTTGCACAACTTTCTAAAGGCAGATATTAGATCATTTCTGGCGAATGAACACTAACAGGTGGAAATGTAACCTCTAGTGTCACCATTTGGACATTTGGGGTTACACTATCAACCCTTAGTGTTAACTCCTGAAATGAATGATACCTAGTTTCTTTATTAAACAAATGTTATTTTGAAACAGGTTTCCAAAATCTCAATTGCATACACAGATATATTAGATTATTTGGGACAAATGACCACTAACAGTTGCAAATGTAACACCAAATTGCATCATCAACCCTCAGTGTTGTGATTGTGTAATTAGTTTATTTCCAAAAATCAAATAGTATTTCTAAACAGGTTTTCCAAACATAATTGCATAACTTTCAATACAAGGATATTATATAATTGTGGGCAAATAAACACCAGCCGTTACCCCTTGGGTTCATGCACTACATTTCAAAAGTAACTTCACCTATTTTCGCGAAACTTTCTCGCCACTATTGCAACACTAACGCAGATTTATCGCGCCAGTTGAGACATTATCGCGAAACTATGGCGCCACTTTCGAGACACTTTCGCGCCATTTTCTCGATAACATTTGACAAGATCGCGGCACTTCGCGCCACTTTCGGAACACTTTCACGGCAGTATTGCACGAATTTCACGCCACTATCGCGCCACTTTTGAGACAGAATAGTCACGCTGCGGTACACCAGGTGTTGCATTTGCAATTGCTGGTGTTCGTTTGTCTAACTTCATCTAAAAGCTCTGTATATAAAGAAATGCAATTATTGTATTTTTGAAAAACAATTTTAATATAGTATTTGTTTGGGAAAATAGAGTCAGTAATGATAAAAAATGTCAAAGGTTGAAACTGCAAAACCTAGTGTTCAAACGGTGACTCTCACACGGTTGATTTGCAAAATTAACAATGACCATAACTACTGCCAATATATTCTTAGACAGCTGCATCTAATAGGTTTGTTCACATATTTCTGAAAACCCATTTAAATTCAGACCGATTTCCGTCAAAAGTCACTTGGCTCGCAACCTTAGTGTAGAGATGAAATATACAACATTTTGTCACATTTGAACTAACGGCTCACTCGGAAAATTACTAACGATGTTTTAGCATGTGAGTGACATTTCAGTGACCTTGACCTTGACCTCAACATGACATGCGTCAAACGAATTCCCCAGACCTATATGTCGCAGATATGATATATCATAATCATATACCTTGATGTTGACAACTTATTCTCAAAACAAAATGCGGCGGCGACGTAGCGGTGGTCGGGGCAGATAGAAACTGACAAAAGCCATAAGTGCTTAATTATGATTTTTGAATAGGACTCTTATAATGTTATATCACATAGTAATATCAAAGCAAGTGAACATTTTTTTGAGATGCAGATATAATGACGAAAAGATGTATGGGTATGCTATAAGAATGTCATGCTCACATTTCAATAAAATAATCATACATATTAAAAATGTTTTTCATATAGTTTACAAAAAAGTACAAATGACTGATCTTTTGGGGTATTCCTAGCAGTGAGACAAGAAACACCATTAGCAAGGCATTCTTTGCGAATTTTCGTAACGCAGAGAGTGAGGTATTGAATTTTAATCTCCTTTATAAGGTCCACATCTAACAAATGTGAACAGTAAGGGTTGCAATTGATAATAATGATCGTCTCTTCCAAGACGTGAGATCTAATGAACAATGAGATATTTGACAGTATTAAATTGAAAAGTCATAATGGTTATTTAGTGGTATATATTCATTTAATACAACCATTTCACGAATTCAGTGACCCTTTGCTATTAAGATCAAGCTCAGATTCATCAATATCAAAAAACTAAATTCAATTAATTCAATGTATGTCTTTACTGCCCCCACATCCCGTTTCAAAAAAAATATTTAAAGTAAATTACAGACGTGTTACTTCATGTGTATCTGAATAATGAACTGACAACAATGAATATTTGAAATGAGAATAAATTGAATTCTTAAATGTTCATAATTTAAACATTTCGATATTTTAGTGGTGCATCTTATCCATTGACGAACATAGGGAATATATCAGTTCTTGACGCCACCTTATGTCTGCTATTTAGGTTAACTGTAAGTGTCCTTGATCATTGACACACAATGTGGAATACAATTCTACCAATCTTATAAGCATATTAATTGGTTTGGCAAGAGAGAAGTATGAGCTGCCATTACACACGGTATCATCCGCAGCTTTCTTGGTTTGTAAGGCAGAACGTGTCGTGAAGTCCTTAACAATGGTGAACACACATGCTACTAGGCTTTGCGTCTGTCATGCTGTACGAAACCATGCAAAAACTATCCGTTAAAGTTTGTAAACGCCACAGAAAGAATCTATTGAAAACGGCATATGCGTTTCTTTTTAAGGGCAGTATATGTAGCGATAAGGTAAGTCGAAAACTGACTGAAACAACCATCTGGTCCAAAGAAACGCACGTTCAAATTCTTGACCAGATACGATAAGAAGATATCATGACAATGTATAAAACGCAGCTATTGAGTGTCGACAAAACATTGTAAGAAGGCAGTGTGCTGATACCCAGGTGGATTTGTGAAATGCTTAATGTGAGTATAGAGATATCCGTGTTGCCATATGAATGTGGGGTCAAACAGCATGGCTCGTATCAAGAATTAATAGCTTGGCTTAAAATCCGACAACTCCTGGCAAAGTGAGCCAAATGAGATAATCGACAGGCAGTTGACATTATGGAAAGGCAATACTTGAATAGATGGTGTGTCTATTGGGACCCCAAAGCACCACTGTTTTCTTTCTCTTTTTCATACACGTAAGTTGCTTATGTGTTGTTTTTAACAAATAATTCGTTGCAGCTCACGTTCGGGATGTGTCATGAATTAGTTTCCGATCAGGATCTTAATTTTCTGTCTGTACGGTTTCTAAATAAGGGTTGCACTCATAATTTTTGCATCTTTTTGGGAAGCTTGTTCTTTACAATATCATTAACATGTACTCTACGTCCATGGTTATTTTTAAAAACAATTTAAAAGTTGGAAGAATATGAAGACATGCAGCGTTTTGAGTCTGAACTAACAAATTATCAATTATTGTAACACGTTTCCGGACTTCTTCAGGTGCAGTGTGAAAGCGTATATATTATCTTTGTACAGAAGCCTACCCTGAATACACAAATTAGCATGTATATATATATAATATCTAACACAAATACTCACACACAAATACTTTTTGATGATGAGACAGGATGTAGCCCTGAAACGTTGGTGCAAATAATAGGAAAGTTGTTTTCCACAAAAATAAATTTAATATCATTACATCTCTTTCGTCTGGGTTTATGTTTTACTTGCGAAAATACATGATCATTTGAACAACTGTATGTATCTGATGCTTCATTGACATTATATCAATATAGTCAGATATGTCGTTTTCGTTAAGGTCACAATCCAGTGCTCATTTGATTAAACCTTCACTTTACATTGCACAGAAAATGAAATGGACACTGGTCTGTTTCACTTTGAGCTTGTCAATGGACGGTCTATACAGTGAGACGACGGTAACGATCCACCCACAATGGTTGGCACAGGGAGGTAGTGCTCGCTATGACAGTAACAGGTGGAACAAGCACAATGGTCTGGATAGCACATCCCTCATTCCAAACTGCCGGAGCATTCGGACTGATAGTGGACGCTGGAATAACAGAGATTATAATGCTCGCCTGTTCCAAGACGTAAGATCAACCTTTGAATAATACTGAATCTATTATTTGATATTGAAAGTTGTCACTAGTATTGTTCAAAGATATATTTGGCACTATCAAGTTGAAAGCAAATCATGGTGACAATGTATTGGTATAAATTAATTTTCAACAACGAGAAATCCTGTTGCGAGAGAGCAAATTATGGTGATAATGTGTTGGTATATATTCATTACCACAACGAGAAATCCTGTTACGAGAAATATATTTTGATTGCAGCAGGCACGTGTTGCTATATCTGTCTACTGAACAGACACTAATGGTGTTCTAGCCAATAACAGGTCAAACATTACCCAACATGTTACAACAGAAACCAAAACAAACGGTTATATTAAAATAAATTAAATGTTCAACCTTTCAGTATATTGAGGCCTTAGCAGTGATAATAAAAGCGAATATACTTTTCCCAAATGTCGGAGCATTCGAACTGACGGCGGGCGCTGAAATAACAATGGGCTTTATTACAATATTTTCCAAGATGTGTTATTATCTTGTAATTCATACCAGATACCACTTACTTACCTGTTGAACATTACCATGTTGAAAATCCAGTGAGGATTATACAGTTATGGAATTTATTCATTTCACATGGTTATCTCTTCTCACAATATGTTTCCAGTTCAGGCATGTGTTGCCTTAACTACCACCTTACCTACTTTGCCAAAGACGCATCAAGTGAAATACAATATATACTCTTCAAAAAACGAAACGCAAAGCCAGATTTGTGTGAGGTAGGAAAAATACATTTATACGAGGAACCTTACAAGGTATTGAGCCAAAATGTTGTTGGGAGAACACTTCGTGATTGTAGTTTTCTCAGTTATCGGTACATAGGAAAAGTCCAAGGTGAAGGTCAGCTATCATCATAACGCGTTTGTCCCCCTTTGGAATCGAAAGCGGCCTGACATCTCCTGCCCATGGAAGATACGAGTATGCGAATAACATACCGGGGAATGGTAGCACACTCGTGCAACGTCTGGGGTTGTGGTTGACGTCGGCGTAGCCTTCTATCAAATTCATCCCACAGGTGCTCTATCGGGTGAAATCCGGGGATCTGGAGGGCCAGGGGAGAACATTAACGTTGTTGTTGTATAGACAGTCTCTTGTGATCCGTGATGTATGCGGTCGAGCGTTGTCCTGATGGCATACACCGTTGCCGTTGACTGCAATTGGGAAGACGTGTGGTAGGAGAATTCGTTGATGTATCGTTGCCCTGGATATGGACCATACCTGTCCTGCCATGATGAGAGGTAGTCGCCTATATCATGACGTTACCGCCACCAAACCTGTCCACTTCCTGTACGCAGTTTCAGGCGTAACGTTCTCCCCGACGTCTGGAGATCCGTGCTATTCGTCCCCTCGACGGAGGAGAAATCAATGCAGTCGTTGTTAATGGGTGTTGTCGACTCAATATGACGCGTCGAAACTAATGGTTTGCATGTCCTTGATATGATCATTTTGATCCGCGAAATTTGTCACTGACACAATAACACATTAAACCTCTTCATTTTGCACCTCTTGGTCCGCTTATTTTGCTTTTATGGCCAAAAATATCCGTTTTGCGTTTCTTTTTTTTAAGAGTAATATTAAACAAAAGGTTAATGACACAATAGTTTGAAATGAGACATTAATTGTTTTCGGTCGTCTTAGTAATTTAAACAGTAAATGTCTATCCACGAAGCCTTTTAACTTCTTAAACAACTGCAGTCTCTTCACAACCACTAAACATAGGAAGGAGTTCTGCATCTCATGATTTCAGCTGTTTTGCTGAAATGAATTTATACATTGTAAAACAAAGCATGGGAGCATGTGCTGCAATCTGATTGGTTGAAAAACATTGTTAAATGGGATTTGAACCCCGAACATCGGAACATTTCACACAGCGTATGGATACTTTATTGATGGGTATCATAATCCGATTTTGGAAAATATGGGACTGAGCATCCGACTTACAATACCGCATTCATTATTTGTTCCCTTCTCCTTTCAAGAAGGGAAAATTCGTCGTGGAAGCATATGGCACCATACAATTCGGACGTGTCGTCACTAAAGTCGCACATTGCATATACTTAGAAATAGACTGCTGTTGTATTTTTAATGTTGTTGAGATTTCATGTTCTAAAGATGTGCGGATGTTAATGTGTACACGATGCTCGAAATTTATGATAAATGTTATTTGCAGGTGTAAATATTCAATAACAACTTCAAATTGGAAGACACATTATGTTTCTCTCCTAACTGTTTGCTTGATGGAATATTAAATTCAGTGGCCAGAGGACCCCAACAGAAGTGGCTACCCAGATCCCAACTACTTGAAGAATGCCACCAAGCAGAAGGAACTGTTTTCCTTGTACCTTGCTAACATTAACAGTGGTTACGAGAACGACGTGATCATGACGTCGAGAGGTACGACAGTATTTATGCACTGAGCCAAAGATAGAAAAATACAATGATTAAAACAGCCCAATTCGCAAAACATGTTCCACAGTATTGTAAGGAATTCTTTGGCCTTGTTGAGAACGAATAGTACATCATTATTTGGGAATTGTGAAGCACTTCAACTTTGGCACCGAATAAATGTATAGTTAAGTTTAATTCTAACCCAAAAGCATTAAACTTACAATACTACATGTAATTATAGTTATCAAATTATACCAGGATACAACGTTGCACATAACTGTTTCATTGATATTTATTTCAGAACATCAAATGAATATTGCCCTTATTGTCCGGGCGAGATATGGTATATTTGTAGTAAATTTTATTGAGAAAGGACATCACAGAAAATGTCGAATTAAAACATGCAATATTAACACCGTTACGTGTAAAATGGAACTGTTTAATGAAGTTAACTTACACAATACTCTCGAATGTTTTATACCATTTATTGCCAAAATTAGGTGCTTCGCGAAACTAGAGACAATAAGAGACAAGACGGTCGAAAAGCATAGGGGACTCATTTATTTTTTGTTTTTAATGATTCGTAAAGGAAACATATATTTTAAGGAGGAATAAGCATCATAAAACTGACAGACGTGATTCAGAAGAAGAAATTGAGATATGTCATTCATCAATCAGTGTCCTGTTCCGTTGTATTATTAATTTTAGCTCTAAACTGGCCGAACTGGATGAACCAGTCTGAACATGAAGGTCAGTTCCCCAACAACGTCGATGCTGCTGCAGAGTTCCTGATGTTGATGGTGCAAGGCGTTTACGACTTCACCGAAGGACAGATCCCACCCTACATTGAACCCATTAATGAACCGGACCCAAAATTCAACATTTTGAACCTCACGACTGCCGCCATGTTCCACAAATCAGTCGCAGAGAAACTCCATGCAAGGTTTAACATCAAAGTTGCTGGTCCTACACTTGACGGTTTCGCCAGAAATTCGGATAGAAACAACTTTACCGACTGGAAAAAAGTGGCCAATTTCATGGACATCACTATGGACTTTTTAGACGTGTTTTCCTTTCATTCGTACAACTCACTTACTGTTTCGGGGAAATCTCACAAGTTTACTGGTATGAATGAAGCACGTCTGGTAGCATTTGTTGACCTGGTTGAAAGCTATGCCTCTCAGAAGACCGGAAAAATTATCCCACTTGTTATCAGTGAATATGGTCGCGGATCCGTGGAGGGAATTGACAAATATGCTACATCAGGTATAGTAGACTTTTCAACAATATACCAAGCCAATGCCCATAGATTTACCCAACTAGGTCTCAGGGAATACATTGACAGAACAGTGGTGTTTCTTTTAGCCAATGAAAAATATCCGGGACATGATAGTCTCAACTGGTCACTTTTCACTCTTCAAGGAAACGCCACACGTATTGTCGACGTCTTCAAATTTTGGTACAAATTCGCATCAGGATACTACTTTATCAGAACTACCAGCCAGTATGATGAACAGGAACGAACTGTATCGCCGTTAGCAATGTCAAGCCCATTGAATAACGAAACGGTCGTTTTCTTGCACAGCTATTCTCAGAAGTCACAATCCGTCAAGCTAGACTTTGAAGACGGCTGGATCAAGCCAACCACTGGAGAAGCTACCTGTATCACCATCAAGGACGAATGGTACCCAGTCATTACCTTTAATGAACCCTTCGACATCCAGAAGACCCAAGGAATGGTTGAACTTCCTCCTGAAGCAACATGCCACTTGAGATTTAAAACCCCTTCACACCAACTGCCTTCAGTCACTCTCAACGAAACCACATACTACGGAGCTGATACACTGATACCAATCAAGGGAAATGTCGCCTTAACAGTAATATCTCTACCAAATGGTCAATATCACAGTGCAAGACTGAGAGTTTCTGCCAGTTGGCCGATTAATGAAACAAACAGTGTATCATATCTTACCTTCAACCTCCACCGCCTTGACTCGTTCTATAAGCTGTATGACGCCAACATATTGGAAGTACCACCTTTTGGGAGGTCTGGGAGTTTGCTGTCCCAACCTCCCTGTTTGTCACCGGGCATAACCAAGTACAGATTCACTTCTCTAACAACATGACAGCGGGACATGTTTCTTCAGTTGCTCTTGTCACAGCCAAGCTGGTCCCTTCTGATTTGAAGTCATAATAATGATAACATATCTGACAAATTCCCCAACTTTGACAGCATTAAACAAATTCCATTAATATCTCATTGTTTCTATCTTCCCTGTAAAAGGGTATATAGGTCCGATTAACTAGTGCGTTGCATTCTGTGATTGTTTGGTTGTTGTGTAACGTCGCCATCAGCACTATGACGGAGCAAGGAAATTAAAGCGTTTACTGAATATGCTGCATATTTTGAAAAATACTGTCAGTTTTATAGAGTTGGCCCACTGAGAAGCCATGCCACACTTTAACATCGATACCAAAGTCAACGTGTACTGCACGAATCCTTGTTATATCCCAAAAATGCCGAGCACCAGGCAGTGAAATAATATATACCATTTCTTAACGTCTTTTGGTATGACCCGGCAAGGGAATCGAACCACAGACCTTCCACTATATAGGTGATCTGTCCACGAGACTACTGAGATGGTCTCTAACTCTTTAAGACTTAAAACCATTATAATAAAAACGTCTTATTGGAAATGTACACATTTGTTGTTTATCGATGTTATTGATCTCTGTCGTTGTGTCTACGAGGCTTTGTCAAAGATAAGGAGTCACCAACAAGTATTGAAAATAGCTTATTTAAATTGTCATTCTATTTTATTGTTTTTTTTGCAAAGAGATAATTGGAAACTTGATCACTTACACGGGAGGTGCATTCAATAATACGGGGTGACGTTAAAAACTATAGATTGCTAAGGATGAAACGGCATCAATTTTTTTATTCATAAATCAAGAAGCTTTTGGCTCTGTTTGTCCCTTTAGAAAGCGGATCAACACACCTGGGAAACTATCATACGACAATTTGAATTTGATAAGCTGTGTGGAACTGTAACTATGTTGTACCTTTATTTATTGTGTTAACCGCGTGTAACTGAATATATTTTCATTTTAATCTTCGGAATGACATCTGGAGGAAATAAAGAATCTCATTCCTTAATGTGGGCATTAAACAAAATAAAACATGATGATAACCAAAATACGTTTAACAAAGGTAAGTGGACATGGACAACAGTTTGTTGTAACGAGTAGAAGATTAATACATATGCGGGATTTATAGTCTCACGTTAGTTTAAACCTTTTCGATAGAAGTATGTATGAATGTACACGTACTGATTTTAAGATATCTAAATTGGTAGTTATTTTGGTTAAATTAGTATTACCATAAAACATAGTGTTAAGATCAACACCCTCAGAGTAGAAGAGGGACGTGGATCATTTCTTAGAGTATTATAAATAGGACATGAAAAGAAACAATGTGATACATTTTCATTTATGTATCTTCAACAACAAGCTGCATTGTCAGAAATTTGTTGATCACTACAACCAAGTCTGAGGCAAGAATGTACAGTTTGTAATATAAAGTTGGTATTTTTTTTTCTGTTTTAAAAAACATTTAAAATCATCAACGGTTTCTGGATTGATAATGTCATCAGGGAAATGGCTCCAGCGCTAAACAGCGTCTGGTAAAAACGATAAGCATAATAATTTGTCCTACATCTCATAGTTTGAAAATCTCTCAATCTCATAGTCTCTCAAACTATAGCTACTCTCAGCAGAGACATTTCCGGGTATTAGGTGTGAAATATATTGAGGCGTCTAGGGATTGATCATTTTTGGGAAAAGTGTTTGTTTTAAATTTTGTCGACTTTGGGCGAGTGGTAGGAAACTCGTCACAGCATACAACTTATTGTCACTTGTACCTCTTGTTGCTCCGCAAATCGTCCTTAATGCCTCTAAATGTAAAATTTCAATTGTCATTTCTTGTTCTTTCGTACAATGAGAGCAATAATCAAAGACTTGCACTATGTAAGACTTGTACATAATCTCTAAGAAATGGCAGGCGATATTTGAGACTACCGAGACATTTCACCTCAGGACTTACTTTTCTGACAATAATATCAATATGGAAATTCAATAAGCATTAGTGTTGCATGATTAATCCTAAGTGTTTATGCATATCAACTTCCTATCAATCCCTTTCATTTGAAGACTGGGATCATTACCAGGAAATTTCTTCAGCGAGAACTGAATAGTTTTCTGGGTTTGGGGGATAAAAAGTGACTTGCCATTTTTCATTCCATTGAGAGACATTGTCTGGGTCATTAGTAAGAACATTTGCAGTGGTATTTGGATCTTCTACAATTATAAATACAGAGGTATCATCAGCAAAAAGGCGAATATTACTATCAATGCCATCAACTATATAATTAATGTACACTAAAAAACGGACCCTTAAGGGACACCAGCCATAATAGATTTTGTAGATTTATAAAACTGTAGTGTCAAGTTCACCGATAAGTTTGCTTTTGGATCATCAGGAAAATAGCCCATCTGAATCAAACAGTAAGGGTTGTCACCGATAATCTTTTATGAAATCTACATTAACTATAAAGACTCGATCGTAGTGTGGAGGGTAGGGATGACCACCTGAACCTGAACCATCTCGTGAGTATTCCTTTTGTTTGTATATATTCATGTCAGGCTGAATGTCGTTTGGCACAGTGAGTGAGTGAGTATGGTTGAAGGCCGCAATATTGGTTTTAGCAATATTCCAGCAATATCACGGTCGGGGACACCGGAAAAAGGGATTCACACATTGTGGGGAATAGAACCCGGGTCTTTGCCATTTAACAACCCGTTTGGCACAGACTATACTGTTAAGGTTTACAGGTTTTACTGGTGTTTTTTTTTTAAAACAAGCTAGTGAACAAAGAGAGAATCGTTGAGGCGTCGCAACGCAATATTAACGACTCCTAGCACTCAGGGATCACATCTCAAATATTTGTTGAATCCGTAATTCTGTCATTTCCCACTTACCAGTGATTATGGCAGAGGTATGTATATCTTAAATTCTTTAATAAATCTTCGATTTGATGTCATTGTTGTAATTGTAGAAATATAGTACTGTAAAATATGACATGTACAAAATACTTACAATAACATGTAATTGATATGGACATCTGTACAACTGTATGGATCACATGATTTGAACCATATTAAACCATATACATTTGTATGACAATGATGAGAGCGCGTTTTATGATTAATCGTAAATAGTTTTCATCAATGAAATGAACCCATATCAGCGTATTGTAAATAATAATTTAATTAAACATGATGTTAAAAGCGGCGTTAAACCCAACTCACTCACCTACTCATTAAACTGGATATTTGTTCCAGAAAATGAAATGGACACACGTCTTTTTCCGGTGTAGCCGATGTATACAGTGACCAACGTCTGTTTTACCGTGATAAATTCAAAATGTCACCTTAACTTGCCTGATGATAGAAATTTTGTTATTGCTTGTTTGTTGTTTAACGTGTTATGTACGAAATATTAAGTTAAAGAAAGAATTAATGTTTTTTTGAACATTATTAGCCAAAAGTGAGCAGGAGTAAAAAGGAGTAAAAAAATGAGGCAAAGGTCATACTTTCTGCCCAGTGGAGATTCTGGTTTAGTATTCCCAACAACCTCTGTTAGCCATAAGGATCGAGTTTTCAAGCTCGACTAATTGTGTATCACCATACATCGACGGCCTGGATAGTTGCTTATAATATCAGTCACTAGTTTGTCTGGTCAAAACTCGATTATTACCATGCCGCTGTAGTAGAAATGTAATATTTCTGAGTACCACATTAAGCAACGAATAAACGCGAGGATGAAACGTCTCTTCATTGTTAAGATAATCAGAGTTAGTGATGTATTTTCACTCTCTCAAACTGTTGCAACTACGGGTAGAAAGTGTCCCTTATCCTTACCAATATTTCGGGGAACGGTTGGCCCAGTCGTTTAAGGCGCCGCAAATCGCTCTTCAGAGTTGCGTCCCTTGAACATGCCAGAAACCTATGATTGTGGGTTCGCCCCGATCATGTTTCTAGGTTTGTCAGCACCATACCCGTGCTCATTGGTTTCACCGAAGTGGAAAACGTCTAAGACCTGCACCACTTCGGGCTTTCCTCCCACATTAAGCTGACACGCCGTGATATAACTGGAACACTGTTAAAAGCGGCGTTAAATCCAACTCACTCACTTACCAACATTTAGGGGAAAATTTTGGCAATAGCTTATTGAGCAAGTAGACATGAAATATGGAGCTCATCAATGTCGTTCCTACCACTTCAGTTGCATATTCCATGTAAATAGGTTTAGTCTACAACATCGATAACACTGTCCATTCTTGAGAATTTGAGTCTTGAAGACATATTTCCCGTGTCTGCCTATCCTGTTAGTGTCCCTCACCAAAGGCAATCTAAAGTTTGACTCAAAGTTGATTTTAACTACTACCTACTCCGACATATTATAATGTTTGAAGTTATAAAACTGATTCATTGAACTTGAAACACGTGGAGGCGTTATTGTTAACACTGTGACTCAAGTCGAAGCTGCTTTCATAGAAGAAAATTTTGCACTAAACGATAATAGTATAAATATTATACCTTAAAACTATTTTTTTAGGTATAACAAAACTAAACATATAAACGTTTTACACCCAAACAATAGCAATATTAGCGTTTCTTATTTCTAAAATGCAAAATATATTGTTTAAAGTGTCGTTTCTGTCCGAAGTAGTTTCGCCTTTTTCGAAGAATAAAAAAAAGAAAGAAAACTAATGTCAGGAAATATCATCCTACCTAGCCACTCCCCACTTTTGCCACAAACTGAGCATTATATGTGCCTTAAGCCCTTAGAACATATGATCTTGGGTGTCCCTTTCCTTTATGTATCAACCCATCCATATATGAGTTTTGACGACAAAACCTCATCATTCTTGTCAGGTTTAGAAAACATCAAAGATCAGTCATGTTACGAATTGTTCTTAGACATAGCGTTCTGCGATTCAGCGTAGTTAATTTCAGTCCAAACTGTCCCTGTCCCTCAACTAGTCATCATTGCTCCGTGAAGATCCTTGTTAAATATGATCTTCAGCAACCCAGCTGTCAGAAGAGGAAAGTAACAGGGTCGGGTGGTCAGGTTCGCTGACATGGTTGATGCATGTCATCGTATCCCAGTTACATAGATCGATGCTCATGATGTCAATCACTGGACTGTCGAGGGCGTTGAAGAGCAAGTAAACTTTAAATAAGTAGAGGGAACATCTTAAAGTCGATATCTGCAAAACTGGCGCGGCTCCGTTATGGAAAGTTTTGGTTTGCCGTGAAAACAATTCAATCAAACGAAAAAGAAATCTCATATTGCACCAGAAAGAGTACTTTCCTATTGTCAAATTCAGAACTAATAACCATAACTCTCCCGTTGAAACCGACCGCTGGCACAACATTGGGAAAGTGGAACGAGTGTGTAACTATGTAACTCTCCTGCTGTTGAGTTGATTTTCTCTGTCTGTTTAGATGTGAAACTCCACCCAACAACGTTTTATGTACATTCCCAAAGTAATCTATGAATGGCCAGATATATAAAAATTAACAGGGTGTTCTATTTTCGTAAAGCGAAAAAAATGTTTTTTTCCTAAATGTAT